TGGCGGGAGTCACACTCCCAAGCAGTTTGCAGACATTGACCTTTGGACGGACCTTTGATCAGAGCTTGGAAGGTGTCACTTTGCCAAGCAGCCTACAAAGTTTGAAATTTGGCTACTGTTTTAGCCAAAGCCTGGACCGTGTGACACTGCCCGACGGCCTGGTGACTTTGACCCTAGGAGATCGTTGCACGCAAATGATTGACGGTGTCACATGGCCAAGCAGCCTCCAGACCTTGACCCTGGGCAGCTTCTTCAACCATAGTTTGACGCATGTGAAGCTGCCAAGCGGCCTTCGCACTTTGACGTTGGGCAATTATTTCAATCATAGCTTGGATGATGTTATGCTGCCAAGTCACTTGCAGAGTCTGACATTTGGTGAGGGATTCGACCAAAGCCTGAGCGGTGTGGTGCTTCCAACCAGCTTGGAGACTCTGACCTTTGGGAATAGTTTCAACAAGAGCTTGGCTGGGGTCACAATACCAAACTGCCGCACCATGCACATTGGTGTTCATGCCAAGCTGATCCTGGCAGGGGCTACACTGCCACGCAGTCTGCAAGTCTTGACCTTTGACGAGTGTTTCAACGAGTGCTTGGAGGGCGTCCACTTGCCAAGCAGCTTGCTGCATTTGACCTTCGGCGAGTGTTTCAACCAGAGCTTGAATGGGGTGCAGCTACCAAGCAGCTTGCTAAGTTTAACATTCGGAGTTTGGTTCAATCAGAGTTTGGACGGCGTCGCGCTCCCGGGCAGTCTACAAACCCTGACCTTTGGCAACAGTTTCAATCAAAGCTTGACAGGAGTTACACTGCCCAGTAGTCTTCAAACGTTGATCTTTGGTGATGATTTTGATCAGAGCTTGGAAGGTGTGGTGTTTCCAAGCAATCTACAGTCCCTGATGTTTGGGTCATGCTTTGACCAGAGATTGGACGATGTCACGTTGCCTGATAGCTTGCAAACCTTGACCTTGGGTTGGATCTTCAACCACAGCTTGGTAGATGTCAGGTTGCCAAGTAGCCTCCAGGCTTTAACTTTGGGCAATCAATTCAATCAGAGCTTGGCTGGCGTTTCGTTGCCGAGTAATCTACAATCTTTGACATTCGGCGATGGATTCAACCAGAGCTTGGATGGTCTCAGGTTACCACACAGTCTACAATTTTTGACCTTTGGTACATGCTTCAATGAGAGCTTGGTAGGTGTTACTCTTCCAAGTGGCCTGCAGACTCTGACATTCGGAGAAAATTTCAACCAGAGCTTGGCGGGAGTCACACTCCCAAGCAGTTTGCAGACATTGACCTTTGGATGGACCTTTGATCAGAGCTTGGAAGGTGTCACTTTGCCAAGCAGCCTACAAAGTTTGAAATTTGGCTACTGTTTTAGCCAAAGCCTGGACCGTGTGACGCTGCCAAGCAGCTTGCAAGAGGTTTCTTTTGAAGCATATTTCAGCATGCACGTCCACCTGCCTTGCTGATCCCAGAGATCTATTTAATCGGAATGTGCGTTTAGAGAATGTCAATGATTTTACTATATTGTGATGTGATGTGCAGATGATGTCCAGATGCTTATATTATGCAGATTCTCAAAATGGATTCCAAAAAGACTTTGCAACTGGGCAAAGAAGTGGATGTATCTCCTTGGAACTATTAATTGACCATCCCGGCAAATTGAACTACACTCGAAGCCCTTGTGCTTCCACATGTCATTGGCATTCTTATTTGTGTTGCTTTTGTTATGTATATCAATTAGTTTATCACTGTGGCTTCCGGTTTCTGGAAATTCTCTGGTGCAAATTTGAAGATGACACATTCTTTGGCAGAGGCTTATGTTTGAGGTTGAACACGGGTTCTTGGATTGACATTGGCCGACCGAGGTCTTTGGCAGCTCTGGTTTGGGCCAGCTGGACATCTTCAGCGTTCAGGACCAAAAGAACTGTCCGGAAGCACAGAATCGTTGCTGAGACAGACTGTTGTGGAAGCAGCACTGGTGTCATGAGTCATGTTGGCAGGCGAGCAACATGTCGAACGACATTGTTCCGTTGGGCTTTCCGAATTTGTTCCATTTCTTTATGGTTGTTGCAGCATGTTCCGGATATGTTGGTTCATGTGCCGTGCTCTTAGGGAGCTTCCCCCAGTTAGTTTGACTGGTCAGTGGTCAGATGTTGCCTTCTTGGAGGTCAATCCTTGGCATTGGAGGCAGAGGGCTTGACCCTGACTGGTGAGCAGCGTCAGGACTTCCGTTTGTTTTTAGTTTGGAAGAGTCTGGAGCAATGAATCACAACTTGGTGCTTAGCAGTGCTCAGGAAGGACATGAAGGGGTCTGAGGGTGGATCCAGTCTGAATGTCATTCCTTGAGGGGTCATTCCTTCATTCCCTACGTCAGCGTCGCAGTGCTCCGCCGAACGATCACACCCGTCGCACCATGGCGCCAGGGAACGACCACAGACATGACAGATGCAAGTGACAGCCTCGAAGCGACGGAAGCGAAGACGACGCGAAGTGAAGACGAAGGGAGTCCTGGCCACAAGTAGGAGAAACTGAATACGGGGACTGCTTATCAATGATTTTTGATTCTTCCACAGTGTTCAACACGAAAATGCTCAGTTAAAACCCAAACAAACGCTACCAAGTGGGACCTTCCTCTTTGAGGTGCCTTTTTCGCAGCGGTTTGCGGACTGTGGGGTGTCAGACATTTTGTGCCCGTGAAATGATTTGGAAGAGTTGCAGAGTTGGTCAATCCTGTTGATCCATAGCTTCAAAACGCAATAGCTCATGATGAATGTGGTGCTAGACATTATGTGCAGTATAATAACAGTTTACATGTTGCAAATGATGCGATCATGAGAATCAGCATTGTCAGCATTTTTATCTTCGACCAGCACACCAGTTTGAGTAAACGCTTTTTTACCGCCTCACATCCTGAACCCTTTTTTCTTGTGCGCATACTGAGCTCTATTGAGCTCCTGGTTCTGGACATGCACGGCACCCTTCGGCATGATGAACTCCAGATAATTCCAAAGCCCTCGTTAGCCGGCACAAACAAAGCTGTTCCTCCATGCCGGGATTTGGACATTCCTTCAGGTGGAGGACGTGTGTTGGTGGCATTGGAAACCTCCGTGGTGTGTCTCAATCCCATCCCCTTCGAGCGGCAGGCGGGGAACTGTTCACATCGTTGTTGAAGTTGGTTCTGCACAAAACAGAATCCAAAATAGTATTGGATATGATTGGTTTAATTTAATATACATATAATTTGATCATATATTATTTGATCATATAATATAGTATATATATATATTATATTGTTTGGTTTGGTTCACGCATTTTTTTCATCCACCAATTCAAGTCAAGTAGAATCTGGAAGCTCTCCTAGCTCTGGGGGGAATCGTCTCACTGGATTTGCAGAGGTGGCCACCCCATCCGAGCTGATAAGAGATGATAAGAGGGATGCTTGACAAGGGACATGTCCTAAATCAATAATGAGCATCACCATATACTCCCTCCAACCACCCAGTCACACGGGAAGTGAAGCCCCCCGTTTGTGACTGCATTGCAGTGTGTTTGTTCAACAAAATGACCTTCTTTAATTGAACTTGGATTGCCTAGAACATTTGGAAGAGCGGGACTTCCTGGCCTCCAAGAGAGCAAAATTTTCAGGTGCAACCTTGCAGGATACACATAATAAAGTGTCTCAGGGAAATGAACAAGAAGCACTGGCATTTGTAGGTCACACATTGTCTTGGAGCCTTCAGCCAAGAAGATACACCAAGTCAGCGAATGGACCCACATTCATACAATTTCATACATATTCATACCCTTCCATGAGGAAGACATGGAGTCAACCAGTGAGATGTGGCAGTCCATGTTTCGAATCTTCTGCGATTCTGCAGGTGAAAGAGCTCTTGCTGCAGGTTTGGGACACCTGCAGGTTTACGACGAGAGCGCCCACATTCTTTGTTGGGAGGAGTTTCGGAGAAAAGGGGTTCCCCACAAAGGGAAACGTTATTGCGACAGTTGTTTGGGTGTTTTCTTGAAATCTGACATTTGTTCCTCACAACTTCGGTAATCAGAGTTGCGGGGCATGGCTGTTTCCGCAGTGGGGGCTGATCGGCGACCGAAAGACCAGCACAGTCTGTTCTTTTCAGCTGTGAAGTTTGCAAAGGGGAGACAACTACTACTGTACATGCCCAGTTCTCTCTCATGGCTTCACACAGGTTCAGGTACCAGCCAGTTCTGGACAGATCTGAAGATGGTATCGGCCCACTGGAAGACCAGTTGTTTGCCTCTACACACAGGCGGGTTCCCACTTGCATGTTAGTGAGTCGGAGTGTAACTGTGTACCTTCATAGGACGCGTGGCTACAGATTCTTCACGCCGGTCACCTGAAATCAGGTGATCTGAAAAGTCCCCTCACCATGTCCCGTCCTCACTCATCTCCCTGGCCAAGGTGCCATATTCAGGTGTTGGAGTGACTCTACATGGCACAACTTTCCAAGATTGGTGACATCCCATAAGCAAAAACGCATCAAACTATTAAAGACCTCCATGTATTTTATACTTAAAGAACTTACCCACCGCGCCGGGATCCATGGGCATGGACAGTCCTTGGTGTGTCGCGCTACAAGAACTTGCATCATCTTGCATCCATTCTTGAGCCGTCAGACTTTGGGGACCTTTGGCTATTGTTCCAAAAAGGGTGCCGTGGAACCCCGCTTGGAACTCCCAAAACCATCCAAAACCTCGCGGTCTGCCGCTCAGTCTCGGTCGCGAGGTGCGGACGAGCGACGCTTTGGATTTGATCAATGCCACCTACAGCCGCCCGGAGCGGAGAGAGGAGACCGATAAGAGACCCGGACGACCGTGGAGCGGGTCAAGCGCCCCCAGCTTGAGGTCGGAGAAAGATGACTACCACTGGGTTGACCTCAAGGGGCGGTCGACATCGACCCCCCAAAAGAAGGGGTTCCCATGTTTGAGTCGTTTGATTCAAACATGTTTTGTTTTTTTTTTCCACGGTCGCAAGCTTGTGAAGCACCTCGTGGGACAATCCATGATCTGAATGTAGAAACTTCACGAACCTCAGGGTAACAGCAGGAGAGGGGGGTGCACAGATGTATCCCCCCTCCTCGAAATGGAGGATCGAGGGGGGGGGGTACCTTTAGGAATTCCATTTTAATATTCCATTTACACAGCCAACATGTTTCCAGTTTTATCTCCGCGTGGCCCCGAGAAATTTTGACAAGCGACGCGGTTGAATGGGCAAGAGGCTTCAGCAAGCTCACTGAATACAAGTCTGAGCATGGAGATGCCAGGGTGCCCACCAGATTCAAGACTTTTGATGGCTTTCCGCTTGGGCAGTAGATTAAGACACAGGGAAAGAACAAAAAAGTGCCAAGATCGTGTGAACCGCCTGAATTCACTTGACCATGCTGGCATGATTAAATATGATGGTCTTGCTTTGAATGTAGCCAAAAATCCAAAAAACAAGGAGCATCGCTTACGCCCCGCGGGCGTAAGCAACGCGACCTTTTGGACGGCACCGCGGTCCCACTGCTCGGAGCTCCCTGAGGGCCCGCATCGCTTACGCCCCGCGGGCGTAAGCAACGCGTCCATGCAGTGTATTAGGCAACACGTCCACGCAATGTAAATCAAGGTCTGTTTCTTTGATTTAACGCTCGATGTAACAAGATATACACTTCGAAATACCAGATACCTATCCAATGCTTTTTTTGTTCTCGACCAGAAACAGGACGCAGCCCAAAAGAGACCAAAAAGATGACGCCAAGAGATCAAAAACACAACCCAAGCGATGCAAAATATGATGCAGAAAGTGCAAAACAGGTTGGGTAAGTGCAGGCTGGTGCTATGGACGGCACTGAATATCACTGGATCTAGACCGTTGCTAATGCATCATCAGGGTCAAAAATGGATAATCCATTTTCTGTTGGGGGTCCGACCCCCCACCCCCTGGGGTAGCAGGGATACAGATGTCAGTGTGGAGTCTGCAGATGTCCACACTGGATGGGGGTCTGAAAGCCACGAACATGTAACTCTCCGAAGCGGTTTGTTTAAACATGCTTGTTTAGAAAGGGAATCTAATGGTCGCCCCGGAGAGTCTCCCGGGCCACTCCTACACAGGATGAAAAAGTGAGTGCTAAACAGGTCAAACTTCAATCTTCAGGCTGCTGTACAGTCTGGAGTTTGGGACTGACCACTAGGACTGTTAAAATATGTCAACTAGGAGAAGAAGTTCTTTTTGACAGAGGAGTCGGCAATGGAGCAGTCCGCGCAATAAACACGCATCAGTTCAAGTCAGAGAGATGTGTCTCTTGCGTCGATGCACTCCAAGTGGTCGCTCCGAACAAATGGTATAGGCCTGCAAGCTCTAAGTGCCCACATGCTCCGTATCGGAAAGGTAGTGCATGTGGTCAATTTTCCCGAGAGGCGCCGGGGTGTCAGTTGAGGGAGACGATTTGCGTCCAACGTCAAAGGCTTCTGTGAATCCAGTTTTGAAGTCCAGTGGTGACATTCATCCATGTTGCTGGGTGAAGTTGAAGTTCTTCTTCAAGGTATCCTAAGTGAATCTATGCAAGGAAGATCTCTATCTATGTTCCCACATGTTGATTATAGCTTCGATTTACCTTCTCTTTCTTGTTTCCAGTCGATGGTTTCTTTGGGCTCAGCCCGAACGCGGGAACATCACCAAGGCCCTGAGGACCCGGAACGGCAAGTGCAACTGGGGCGCTTCCATGCCCTTGCCGGATGGGCCGTTTGCCTTAGTCGGATGACGGGTGGGGGGACTGCCGCCAGTGAATCATTTCGGAACGGAGAAAGTGGAGAAGTCACTGCCCTGAAATATGTGGCAAATCGAAGATTTGATTGAATCAAATCCATTTGATGGCGTGTTTCAATATTGGTACTGGTATGTACTGGTTTTCGCTTCTTCGATCCCATATGCCTTTGCTTGCTGCTAAACCAAAACTAGAACATGTCCTGCTTGCAGTTCCAGGGTGATTCACACGGTTTTTTGATGCAAGAGGCTTGAACAACATAACTAACACACATTCAAGCAAGTTTTCGGGTGTGCCAAGGTTTGTTCACGGCCTTCATTCAGATCACCAGAACAAGTGCTGATTCCCTCTTTGAGACGGTGAGTTCCATGGTGGTTGATTAAACTGTTGATTTTCTGACACTCGACTAGCCGCTAGTGACTAGCCGTTGTCAATTGTCAAGAAGAGTTTTTGTGGACCTATACTTGATACATCTCAATATACATCTCAACATACACACGATGACATGGCAGACATGACACACGGGTGAGACTTTGGTCTTGCGAACGGCCTACCGAGGCCCTTTTCAGAGATTTGCAGTTTCTCAAGGCTTTTCAACACTTCATGTACCCCGGGGGTTGGAAGGTGAAGGCTCCACGGACTCCATGCTCCATGCAAACATGTTAAACCCGGTATGTGCTTTTCCTTTTGTTGTCGGTGGGCCGCTTGGTGCAAGCCACCTGGCCTGGCAAGACAGATCTAAAAGATTGCCCCGAGCCATGAGCCCCATTGGTGCTTATCCGTTTTGAAGGGATTCGGATGGATTCCGACACGACTTCGTTTCCTCAAACCTTCGTCGGTCCCCGAAATATCCACACAGGGTTAGACTGTGTATAAGATGTTGCCCAATGGGTTCAAATTGAACACCCGATCGCTGAGCGTATCCTGGGAGTCTCTATTTTGCTTTTTGCTTTTGTTTTTCAGGGATCACCCAAAGTACAGAAAGTGCTTCGAGACACGCAGACAGAGAGTTGTCAAACTAGGGCTTGAAGTTCCACCTTCTGCTCGTTCTTGGAATGACTATGGTTGCCCAACACAAATTAGTATAACTAGATTCGAGATGACAGGAAGGTTTTTCTTGAATTGAACCACTAAGTGTCTATACGGCGTTTCCTTCTGTGCCAGTTTGCCAGTGCTTCTATGGTCCGTCTTGGGTCGTTTGGTGTTTTTAAGTGTACGTAGACATCTCTTCTAGTCTCTCACCTGTCCATCCAGACTCGTGGTGCGCCTGTTGGCTTCACTTCGGACGTCCCACACATTCGTTTCAGTTCCCCGGTCACCAGTCTTTTTTGGGGGGGACAGGTACAGCACAGAGTTTAGCATTGAGCAGGTTCTCCTTTTCTGGCGTTGGGCCCTGAGCAGTCCATGGCCTTGGCCCAGCTGGTCGTGTGGCCGGCGTGTCACACGAGGGTATCAGACCAACGACCAACAACTCGTCAACTCGGCAAATGTTCCATTACCCGGGCTTTTTAAGGGGTGGACACCCCCTTAACCTCTAAGGCACCCCTTAGGGGGCCTAGGTTTTTGTTTTTTTTCACCACCTGTGATGTGAGGGTTGTTAGATTTTATGTCAGCCCCATCTCCTCCTCCGCCTCCTTCTTCTCCTCCTCGTCCTCCTCCGCCGGACCTCAACCATGACCATCCACGCCCAGTGTTCCCTGCCGGACCTCAACCACGACCATCCATGCCCAGTGTTCCCTGTCGGACCTCAACCACGACCATCCATGCCCAGTGTTCCCTGCCGGACCTCAACCACGACCATCCACGCCCAGTGTTTCCTGCCGGACCTCAACCACGACCATGGGCGCCCAGTGTTCTCCGCCGGACCTCAACTCCGAGCTCCAGGCCCAAGTGTTTCCTGCCGGACCTCAAACACAGCACACAACCACAAACACAATCACAAACACAATCACAAACACACAGCCACAAACACACAACCACAAACACACAGCCACAAACACACAACCGCAACACACAACCACAAACACACAACCACAAACACACAACCACAAACACACAACCACAAACACACAACCACAAACACACCCACAAACACACAACCACAAACACACAACCACAAGCACACAACCACAAACACACAACCACAAACACAACAACAAACACACACACACAACCGCAAACACACAACTACAAGCACACAACCACAAACACACAACTACAAACACACAACCACAAACACACAACCACAAAAACACAACCACAAGCACACAACCACAAAGACACATTCACAAACACAACCACAAACACACAACCACAAACAAACAACCACTGACCACAACCACAACACAGCACACAACCACAAACACAACACACAACCACAGCACACAACCCGAGGACCCACAAGCAACATCGAGAACTACAATACTCACGACCATGGCAACATGCTCCTCACTATGGCATCACGACAAATGATTGAAATGTCATGGTGGGGATCGCTCGAAGTAAAGTAATTTTGCTCATTAACCGGTGGAATGAAGAAGGTTCAACTAGCTCGCTGGTTGGTACAGCTGTTGAAATCGTTGACCAGAAGGTGGTCTTTGTATCCATAGGTGGTATTCATGGCTTGGTTGTTCCCAGTGTCAAGTGTGTGACGTTGGCAAGCTTCCGAAATTTCTTTTCAGCAGGATGTAGTGGTCAATTCTACATGTCGCAAGAAGAAGTCCTGAGGCCTTGATGGCTGTGGTTTTTCAGCATTGGCCCAAATTGGGCCCCCTTGCCGTTGACGCGGGTCGTCAATTTAGCAAGAAGGCCGTTGATAAGTGTCTTCCTGAAATCTACTCGGCGTGGCAAATCCTGTTGAAATACTTGCAGGATTGAATCGCTGCTTTCATCATGGAATCCACTGTCGTTTGCTTCCGTCAAGGCACGCGACCACATGATTTTGAGCCTTGAGGATCAGAGTCCGTGGGCTATTGGATTGGGCTATCTTCCAGTCGTTTGGCTCTGAGGTCGCTACCTGCCAGACGACTGGCAGCCTCAGACCAGGCTGGACAATGAGTGGATATCCACTTCGGATGGGATAGGCCGTCAAGTGTAGGACATGTGCGCCTGGACAACGATGTCCAGAAGCTTTGGCCAGGAACATGTACAGTTACAGTGTGGAAAACAGATTTATCTTGTAGCATCTTGTAGCTGGGTTGAGGATTGCTCAGATTCTGTGATAGTTTGGTTTTAGGCCTGGGGGGGACTCCTATTTCACATCCGTTCGGTGCCTGCTTCAGCAAGAAGGCCAATCCAACCATCGACCTCACCCCAGACCTCACCTCAGGGTGGCCTCGAACTCTGCAACCCCAATCCGTGGGAACCGATGGAGCATCCCCTGACACCATCCCAGGCCTGAACTGGCCTGAAACATCTGAACCGGCGATTCTTCCCCAAAGCATGGGTGAATCATGGTGAATCCCGAAACCATCGGGGGAACATGTTCTGTATTTGTCCGCTTCTGGGAGCGAAATCGGTGCTTTCCTCCCCATGACAGCCTCGCGGTGTTCGCGCCACGTGGTACACGAGGCCTCCATTGGAAGGTGCTCCGCAGCGCGGCACTCGCCCGGTGCAGCGCGGTCGGTGCATCGTGGGTGTCTATCGGTGGGAATTGGTGTGACGAACTTGAGGGACTCAGTAGGTTGGTCGATCATCTACTTACATCTTTTGGAAAACTGATAACACTTACACAGGTATAACTCAGTTGGTCGGTCATATACTAACATGTTGCGAAATGATAATCTTAGAGAACTCACGATAGACCGCTGAAACAAATAATATCGTGCATGTAACAACACAGATTACTGGGAGTATCTACGGGGAAAAGCCGTGTAAACCTCAAAACGTCATCGAAGATGCAGTCGTTCTTTTCAACAGTAACAAGGAGGCTATGCCATAGCTCGGTAGCTATATGTTATCTCAGAAATCACATAAAATCACAAGCGAGGGTCTTAAACCAGCCATCTTCAGCTTGTGGCTTGCCTTATGACTTCCTTTGGGTTCTTCTTGAGGGGCTTGCCACACCACTGGTCCAGTCATTCGCTTTGGAGTGAAGACGCTGCGACATCGCACAGCCCGAGGCCCTGCGACATCACCGACTTCGTTCGGTCGCGACTCCGGGAGCGCAGCGAGCGAAGTGATGCAGAGGCAGAACTCGAGGGATGTGGGGGGACGGAGATGGTATTCGAAGGTGGTGTGAGGAATTTTACATGTGATGTGTTATTTACATGTTACATGCTTTCATATGTATATAGTTTTCTATATACAGTCTGATAATTTGTTCTTAACTTGCAATGAGTTTGCAGTGGTTGTTTGTGAGAGATAACTACAACCATCTACAACCTATTTTTGTTGACGCTAGGAGATGCCCTATGAATCCCTATAATTAGATGTTCTGCAGTTCTGCAGAAGAAGATTCTTCCCGGGGGCAATCACTGATGTATCAATTCTTCCCGATTCCTTGCGAGCAAAGGCAGCACCCTGGCCGCTCCCTTCACATCGCAGTCAACACGTATATCGTGCTTATTTCTTTGGCGCCGTAGCTTGACATGCCCGAATCTTCGATGAGGCATTTGTGAGTGTTTCAGGACACAAGTATGAAACAAGCAATGGTGTTTCGTGCCATAGATGGATGACCTTTTTCTACTGGATATATACCCTCCCTGCAACAATCATCAAAATGGAATTCACCCTGTCTTGGTAGAGGAAGATCGTCTTCCTTTCGGGGCCAGAACGTTCACTTTCATGATTTTGTGTCAGGGACGCTATACTTTGGGTCTGTCCTATTACCTGTAACAGTCAGTAAACAAGCAATCATTTTTTTTTTTACAAGGCCTCCAACCTAACCATCATCATCCACTGAGGCCCTGGAAATAGGATGTATATAATAGGATAGACCCAAGCTATACTATTGATTAATAACCCCAGCCATGTGAATGTTTATTAATCAATAGTCTACATCAATATTGCTTCATGCTTGATTCCAGGGGCATGGAGACCTTTGGACATTGGTGAGCGGAGCGAGCGGACATGAGGCGGAGGATGCTTCGGTCTCTGCGCATCTCCTGGTGGCCAACGCGGTGGCTCGACTGAACCGAAAAGGATAGAACATATTGTTTTTGGAAGGACAAGGGGCCACGTATTTTGCTGTGTTGTTTTGTTGTTTTTGCCGTTTTCACGGCTGCCGCTGGTCTTTGTGTAGTAGTAGTAGTAGTAGTAGTAGTAGTAGTAGTAGTAGTAGTAGTCGTAGTAGTAGTAGTTGTTGTTGTTGGCATTCCCATTTCTTGTTGCCGCTGCACGTTTGACCTACTCGTTTCTTCAACGTTTGGACGTTTTGGCTGGTTTGATGATCGAAGTTCGCTTGGAGAAGAGTTCACGGGACGGAGTTCACGGGTCGGAAATCTCGCAGGCGACATGCCTCACGCAGTTCACGGGATCCAACGACCTGATCTCGACATGCATTTTTGTTTATTAGATCCTTGGGATGGGGCATTTTTGGGGTCCACCGACCTACCTTCTCAGGAAGCAGGAAGCAGCACAATGGATCCACGAATGGGTGTCCAATGGAGATCCCAAAGTAGTGTAGAGTAGTCTTGTGTCGGGCACGCCAGCCATAGATACAAGGAGCCAAAATAGTTTTATAAAGCAAACAGAAAGCAAAACAAAAGCAAAAGTCAAAGCAAACAAAAAAGCAAAAAAATGTAGCTGTGCGTATTTGTCGCTTTTTTTCACTTTTTTTCGCTTTATTTTCGCATGTTTTTCGCTTATTTTTCGCTGTTTTTTTTTGCTTGCTTTTGTTTTTGCTGTACCCTCCTAGGAAAAAAGCGAAAAAAAACATGCGAAAATAAAGCGAACAAAAATGCGTAAATAAAGCGAAAACAAAAAAAATGAAAAAAAAAGCGAGACATACGCACGGCTACATTTTTTTTGCTGTTTTTTTGCCTATTATTGCGCTTTGTTTTTGCTTTGTTATTTGCTTTTGTTTTGCTTTGTTTTTGCTTTTTGCTTTGTTTTTGCTTTGTTTTTGCATTTTCATTTGCTTTTATTTTGCTTTTTTTTTCTCTTTTTTTTTCACAAAAAAAAGAAACTATTTGATGGTTGGCCATGTATGGCTGCCATCGCCCAACACAAGAGTAGTCCATTGGACACCAATTGGATGGTCCAGGTATAGATTATTACTATGTTATATATATATATATATTATATATTTATATACTCAATCCTAGGGCATACGAATACTACTACAATATTGGAACGCGACAACTCTTTGAAAGAAACATCACCTGAGATGGTGCCATTCATCTTCAGGTGCAGTCATCTATGGCGCCTTTCCAGTGTCCATCCCTTTGAAGAGCCTGGTTTGTCGATGGTTTGACATGCTGTTCACGGTGAACCCGCCACGAAACCCGGGTTTCAACCCGCCACGTCCTGCGCCGCCACCGTTCTGGATCGAAAAAAAGATCGACAGCTGCGCCCTGAGCAGCGGCCGGGTCCGTCCGGTGCGGCTGAGAAGATGGGTGGCTGTCAAGGTGCGGATGAAATCCTCCCATATCGACCAAGATGGGGCGAAGAGAGAATTGGTGCCAGAAAACGAAGGGAAAACAGTTAGGTTGTGTTTGTTTCCGGATCTTCGGGTGATGGGATGTCGTGTTTTCCTTTCCTCTTTTGAGTTGGTCGCAGGTGCTTTTTGGGGTGGACAATGATCAGAATATATCAGAATCATACAGCAAGAGCTGGATATGACAGGTGACCCGGAGTTGTTTCTGAAAATGGAGCGGGAGGAAGTGCTGCTCTTGGGTGCAGGGTGTAGTCAATGCTGCATTTTACTGCCTGTATATGGGATGGCCGTGTTTGTACCGGGTACATCCACAGAAGAAAGAAGACCTATTGGCAAAACCGAGCTTGTTTGTGATGGAAAGCAGTTACGCACCTGGAAAAAAACCTTAATAACATGTCATTCGAGGCAGGCCGACATGTTGCCGCAGAAAGAATCACAGGTTATGACATTTGTGAAAAAAGCCATTACAGCTGGTGTTGAGGCACCCAGACCACTTTTTTGTGTCGCCAAGAGACTCGATTGGGTCAGAGTGGCTGCTTCCAGTGCAGTTCGACTGGGTCAGCGGAGTGGTGCATGGACCAGATTCAATTCAACGGAGGGTGACTCACAAGTTGGACCACATGGAAAAAGACGACCTGTCTCTAAAGTCCAGTTCGATCCACTTGAACTCAGTACTAGTACTTCGCATCTTTGGGCAGCAGAAGAATAAGAGGCACTGTTTGGTGCAGCTTGACAACCTGAAGGATCTGTCGAGCAGAAGTGTGAGTGTCCTGAAATATGTTGCCTTATCAGGATTTCAACCACCATTGCAGACTCCTGTAGATAGTTCTGCAGCTCGTTCATCGAACGACTTGTTTGGCTCAGCATTGGTCGACCTGAATTCGTTCAGATCAGACATGACGACCTGTCGGCTGTCGGAGAGTCCCTGGGAGCCAAGAACGAAACAACTGGAAGAGGGGTATATAATGGTATATACTATACCAAAATCCGTAAGTCCTTGGTTCTGAGGGAAAAACACGAAGTCAAAAATGGCGACGAGAGAAAAGGCTCACAAAAGAAGCAGGAAGGGAGGGAAGGAAGGAGAGGGGCCAGAAAAGAATGGAATAGATAGAGAAGGGAATGGAGTCGAACCAACCTACCCCAGTTCAGTCTCACTACTTCCCATAGTTTTTGTTGGCTCACTCTTTAGCAGAACTCATCCTACTCTGTCCGGGTGGCATTGACACTGCTGAGAGACACGGTCGCCAGGTAAGCCTGCCGCGGCAGAGGCCAAGGCTGCGCCCAAGAAGCGCGATTCGAGCACCATCAAGAAAGATATCAAGGCCAGATGACTGGGATCTACTATCATATGCCATCATTGTTTTTTTTGGCGTAGGTGGATGACAGCATTCTTGCTTTTTCACAACAGAACACATTTTACCGTGTACAAAAACGTTGAATGGCCATCAACAAAGGCCGTGTCTTATTGGCCGGTATCACTTGGCGGCTTCAGAGAAATCGGTTTGGTTGTTTGCACACGGTTTGCTGAGGATGGGAGAAATGATATCCATATTATTCAGAAGGTACATGCTAAGGCGGTGCATGTCTCCAAGGGCAAGGTGACCAATTTAGAGGACCACAAGTTTATGGTCTGTGACATGTCCATTTCCACGTCGTTTTGAACTAAAACCATGTGGCCATTGTTTAGCAATACGTCCTCAGTCCTCAGCCACTTGACCCAGATAGATCTCGACCTGGGTCACTTCGCATAGGAACGCTTTTCCATCTCTCCAGGATGGTGGCATCGGGTACGCTCAATTCATCATCGAGAATACCGGCAAGATAGCAGATCACTACCAAATGGCCCGGCCCTTGAGAACCGGACCACGTGAACGCCGTTCACGCACCGGACGGGCTTCCGGCAGCGGACGCCGTCCTCACCGTGGGTCGCGCGGACGGTCCAACTGAGTCGTGACATGGGTGCCCACGCCATCTCAGAGCCAAGGATACACAGAAAGAAGGCCATATACAAGCTACAAGCTGCACATGTAGCTAATTGCACGTGTGTCATAAGAAGACCGCATCTTCACTTTCGTCACCCCACCTGTTTGAATATACTGGCTCACAGAAAATTTGTTCGGAGTGGTTTTTGGAGGGTTGCCATAATGGTCACCCCGTGAGATTCTCCAGTGGTGGCCGGTACAGGTGCAAGTCTTGCCCCGGCTGAGCCGTCGGGTGTTGCAGCGTCAGTGTGGGCATTCGCGGATTCCAAGGACAAGAAGAAGCTTGGGGAAGGGTCCTATGGATCCGTCTCCAAAGCAACGAACATCTCTACCAAGGCGCGTTCCGCCCGTTTTTCCGCGTGTTGAAGCTCGCCCGCGGGTTCGGGGTTTGGCTGGATGTCGCGGGTGTTGGTGTCCAAAGGCTTTTGAAAGATCGCATGGAATAGAAAGTACACAGGCTGGATATCACAAGCTTTTTGTATCATCTCGGGTTTGTACTTTGCCACATCAGTCGACAAGAGTGACACATTTTGTGATCATTGGCGATACTGACCACCCACTTGAAGACTCCTGCAAGCTTCCGCAAGCTTACGCAGTTCAAGTCCTGCAAGTGCTGGAAGTGACCGAGGCAATCCGAGCAGTAAAGACCATCTCCAAATCTCAGATGAAAAACATCGAGCGCTTCAAACAGGACCAGCGCTGCATATGTGGGCATATGCGGGCATGCAAATCTCCCACCGTGGACCTTGACCAATCCCTCTAACTGGTCTTGCGGAAACACATGGAAACACTGATTTTCGGACAGGCGAATGTGGTTCTTCCGTTCAGAGGGTACAGATAGCAGATACTGGATGTCCTTAGAATGGAACAGTTCAAGAGAATAGCTGCCATCAAGTTTAAGCATTTAGCTGTTAGGGAGATTGAAACAGACACTTCGTAGCTTTGGTATGATCTTCCAATGTTCAGCATCTAGTTATATGCCACCCAAAAGACGATCTAGGAAGATCTAGGAATATTATGAGAACATACCAGAGCCCCCTAAGGGGTGGTTAATTGATACCCCTTAACCTCTAAGGAGCGATAATTAAACACCCCTTAGGGGGCTATAACATTATATAACAACATATACATACTGTGGCATGTGTACATACTATGTTCTCGAAACAAGCCCACAGGCCAACCATTGTAAAACCACGTACCGGGTAGTCGGACAAAGAAAAAGGGGATCTTCGCGTTCGCTCCATTCCCGCCAGCCTGATGTTCGCACAACAATTCCCTTGCTGGGCATCAGGAGATTGCCATCATGAAGATGATGGACCATCCGAACATCATTAAGCTCTACGAGTCTTTCGAAGATCTTAGGTGAGCGTTTTGGACCGGACCATGATGGTGAGGTGTGGTGTCAGGTGGGAGACCCTGTCTGAAGGAAAAGTGTGACTAAAGAGGATTCTGGGGAACTTCGACTCTTTGGAAGTTGAATATCACGCTTCTCGTAGTCTCAAATGATTAGACAGGCTGTAAGAATCTGTAGGAAGTGCAGCCAGAATTCCACCAGGGTTAGTTGTCTCCCTGCTCAGTCTTTGTCCTCAGGTCAAAGATTCCAGACACCATGTTGAGTCATGGTATCTTTTTAAGCTCCACCACAGTAGACGTATTTAACCGATGATATGAATATATGGTTAGTATGGTTAGTATGTATATATGGCTGAAGTCCTCATAAAACTCCAAACGGCGAACCGGCTTTGCTGCGCAAAAGGGAGGTACCCCCGAGTCGGGCCCTGTGAGAACTGCGAAAGGAGCTCTGTATGGCGAACCGGCTTGGTGTCGGCCCGGTGTCGGCTCAAGGAGTGGCGGACCAGTACATAGTCCGACCAAAAGCTTAAGTGTTTCCTTTTCAAGAAGTGAAAGTGGGATTTGGTGCGTCAAATCCAAAGAGCCGCATGTTCAATCATCTTCAACTGAAGACAGTTCGTGATGGTCAGGCTGCCCGACTTGCTCCCTCCAAGCATGGCCAGTCGGTCGTAACAGACGTCCTATATTTGTATACATATCTATATAGATGTATATGTATATAATATGCTGATTTATATATATATATATACTGTAGATTTCTCTAGGGGTGGTTGCAATATTGTTTTTTTCAACCTGCATCCAGTGACTGAGCTTTTTCAAGTGAGTTGAAACCACCAACCATATATCTATCTACCTATCTATCTATCCATCTATCTATGAATCTATCTATCCATCTATCCAGGAATCCATCTATCCATCTATCCATCCATCCATCGATCCATCGATCTATCTACCGATCGATCGATCGATCGATGGATCGATCGATTGATCTATCTATCTAACTATCCAATCTATCCATCTATAACTATATAATATATATATATATATGCATGTCCCAAGGACATGGGGCACCATGTTTGATGCAAAAGTCTTTCAATATCCAAAAGGGTCCAATAGACAAACTGTACCTTTGGAGGGGGGGCTGCGAGAATTCAGGGTGCTTCAAACTCCGTTTGCTCCAAGTGGTCAAGCCTTTGCACCAACCTGAAGAATGCTGCAGCGTCTTGCAACAGCACAAAACGGCCCGTTCCATCCCCATCAACTCAGTCAACCTCCACTCCGGGCCCCTTCTCCACTCCAGCTATCCCTAATCAAAAACACCTCGGTTCGCCCTGCCCCGCAGAAATATTTACCTCGTCATGGAGCTCTGTGCCGGCGGCGAGCTCTTTGACCGGATCATCGAGTCCGGGCACTTCTCCGAGGAGCGGCACGAACGACCGGGGCGATGCGAGTAAGCGGCGCGACCCACCGTGGGGCGAGGCGAGTTGGGCGCGGCCCATCTGTTCAAACGACACGGGTCGACCCGTGACGCGCGCGAAAGAAGACACAGACACGTGCCGGGCTGACCGATTGCGAAAAAGGGACGGACACAGAACACCAGCGTTGGATGTCAGTGGACATGCTTCTCCTGCTGAGTGGATCCACCTCCTGCCAAACAGGTATTTATACATATTATACATAGTCAGAAGTGGCTCCAAAGACTACAATATTGACTTTGTTTTATTTTCTTAGATGATGTGAGGAATGTGAGGGTAGAACTGGCCTGAGCACTGCATTGCTGAGCAGGTTCAAGCTGCTATTTTGATGCAGCAGATTATTCGCTCCTGGGCAGTAGATGATTCTGATCCACCCTGGGCAGCAGTGTTTCTTTTTTTTAAAATCCGACAGCCCTGGATCGTTAGATCCTCACAAATTACCCACGTCCGAGCATGAGTCGGTATGAGTGACGATCAGCTTCGAAGCAGGGTTGCTTGGTCTCTGGATGAACTACCACTTGCTCAGAGTTGAGCGAATGTCCGGCTCCACAAGGGAATGGCCACTTCAAAACCATTGGGTTTATAGATTTGGTAGGGACACCCCCTCCCAATGGGTTGACCTTCTTCCAGGGTGCCGAGCTGCGAGGTCTTCCTACTCGTACCTTAATAGAAACAAAACCCTCCGAATAATTCAAGCCAAAACAACGAAAGACTCTACGCCAAAACTTCTCAGGTGCCATCTACTACATGCATGAGAACCGGATCGCGCACAGAGACCTGAAACCGGAGAACTTCCTTTTTATGACCAAGGACCGAGGCGTTTTTTGGTTGTTGCTGTAGCGCTCATGTTGGGGCTGATTTGGGGCGAGGCTGAGAGGGAAGGCAGGGCGATTTGAACGGTTTTCTCTTGGTCACACAGATACCGTTGTCTCACTGATTCTTTCTGAGATCTTGGAATATTTTCCACATACAAACAAGTCGGGCAGGTGGAGAACCAGAGGATCTACGGTATTTGACGGTGGGACGGTGGGCAAGAGAAGAGCTCGTTCCGTGGTTCCACCATTCTTCCAAAAGGCAAAGCAAGAACGAGCTCGTTGACCGCGATGTTCCGGGACGGACTCTCTCTCGTGAGGATCCCATTGAGAAAAACTTCTTGAAGATCATCGACTTCGGGCTCTCCTGCACGTTCATCCCTGAACAGGCACATTACTAGCAGCAAGGACACTAGGATGGAGGCCATCGCTATTAGGTTGGAGGCCATTACTACTAGTAGCAAGAAGCTAATAACTAGCTTGGAGGCCATTGCTATTAGGTTGGAGGCCATTAATACTAGTTGCAAGAAGCTACTGGGTCGGAGGCCATCGCTATTAGGTTGGAGGCCACTACTACTAGTAGCAAGGTAGGAGGGCGTCGCTATTGGGTTGGAGGCCATTACTACTAGTTGCAAGAAGCTACTAGGTAGGAGGCCATGGCTACTAGGTTGGAGGCCATCAGCCTAGTAGCAACAAGCTACTAAACAACTAGTAGCAAGAAGCTACTATTTTCTCAAATGCTGAGGGGTACCTCTCAGTGCGTGAGCAGGGGGCAGGTGGAGAACTCAAAAAAGAAGGGTAGAGGATCACTTCTATTGCTTTTTCTTTGGTTAGGGTCGGTGTCAACCACGAGTGAGAACGTGTCTTCTCGGTGTTTTGGAGTCTTTGGTAAAAGTATAGACGCAGAGACTATGGACAGGGCTAATCCATAGTCTTTACTTGGAGTCTTTGGGACAAACAAACGAGACTCACCAGCCGTCTTTGCCGGTTTCCGCACAGACTTGGTGCAACGCAGTGGTCTGGCAGGCTCTCACCACGAAAGCTGGTACGCCTTACTACGTGGCGCCACAGGCAGGCTACGGGTGTGGGCAAACCTCGGTTTATCGATGTGTGAGGCTGCTCAAAGCAACAGATTGTGCAGACAAAAGATGCAGCATTTCCAAGCAGGTAGCAGGTCAAAGTGATGGAGCAGCATTTCCCAATGTCTTCGTCTTCTTCGTGAGACGTATTTCAAGGGATTCCCAAGGGTGGTTTCCATGGTGCAGGCTTACGATGGGCTATCTTTAGGACCGTGTCACTGTCTACTTATCCTAGTTATAAGTTGTTGTAAGTAGGTTTTAAGATTGTAATTCGTGTCAAGTATGTTTCAAGTAGCTGATAAATAGATTTTACAAGTGGATGGAGGTATCCTATCAATAACAAATGAAGGCTTCCATGTGAATCCGTGTAGCACTCAGAATCATGGCCACTTGGCTGCTCAACTTCGCTACAAAAAGTTCCGTGGTGGGAGGGAGTTCGAGAATCTTGAGTGCTGCAGGGCAGTGTTGTCGGCACATTTGTTGAAAAATGGCCTCAATGCCCGCACTTACTGCAGTATCTAGCATGTACAAGGCCAAGACGCAAGGAACAGAATACTAAATTAAAAAGTCACCAACAACAATGGTTTCAAAATCATTTCTACATACTTGTATCCCCCTAACCTAGCTACTAGCTACAACTACTTGTTCATTTGCTTGTACTTATATGGTAAGCAATATTTTTAGATAAACCTGTGTAAGTGTGTGTGTGTCCTTTGTGTTAAAATAGAACAGATTAAGACACACAAGTTTCAATAAGTAGGACAAGTAGAACCTGTCCTAAAGGTACCCATAGTCTTTCACAGTCTTCCGTCAATTGGTTTCAAGTATACAATATTTGAGAGTCCCTTATATACCTTTATTTTGACGGCCATGAAAACAGAAGTCCCTTACATCGCTTCGAGCCTTCGACCAACCCTACGTTTGACGTGTCTGGAAACACGACGAGCGCGTGCAATTGGTCAGGTGCTCGCAGGGAAGTATGACCAGCAGTGTGACATCTGGAGCTGTGGGGTGATCATGTATGTCAGGGGCCCTGATTGAGCGGATTGAGCGGAAGCGGGGGGGGTGTGACCCAGCTTTGGGAAAGAGCTGGAGTTGACAAACACATACAAAAACATGAGATTGTTGAGGGGCATGGTACAGTAATTACCTTTTAGATCCTTTTAGATTGACACATTCAAAAAGCATCCGTCTACCCTTTTGGGGGGATCTCTACATAGTATACTCTTGCTGCGGACTTGGTTGGCGGACTCTCTTTCAGAGTTGCTTAGTTTTCGAAGCCAGTGCGCCTCCACAAGGACTTGTAATGCTGGTCCTTGGCAACGGAGCATTCCCCACACAAGGAGTTTTGGCCAGCCAAGTGGGTGCAGCAAGACCTGGAACCACTCGACTTGGTGTTCAAGCACTGCCCTGCCAAATAGTCGACCTTCACCAGCATCATTCACCATGAATCCAGAAGATTTGCAGGTTGTGGTTCTGTTTGGAGTGGATTTAGTTTGGCAAGGCTGGAGGTTGGAGGCTTTACAGCCGCAACATGCTTGTCCAATCAAGTGACATTGATTTCACCACGAAACAATATACAAACAAAACTGAAGGTTTCCAGTTCCTCCAGGTTTGCCAGAAGTCTAAACAATCAAACTTGTCGTGTGTTTGTTAGTTGTTGTTGCATTTTTCAGATTGTTTTTACAACTATGGTGTTGTCTCATATAGGTGAACCAAAGTGGCGAGGGCTGTTTTTCTGTTTTTTCAATCAATCACCACCAGTTAGTCAAGAACTATGGGTCAGGTTCCCCACTAACAAGTTCGAATCTGACCAGTGGTCCTTAGATCCTGCTTACTTGGTGGACACTGTTTCGATTTGTTTGGAAGCAAGAATCTCCTGCTATTCGCCGAGGTGCTCCTTTGTGGATACCCGCCCTTTTTCGGCGAGACAGACGCAGATGTCTTGGCCAAGGTGGACGCAGATGTCTTGGGAGACCAGCGATTGTGGGGAGATCCAAAGACTGTAACAACTATTAAAGCATATCTATACTTAAATAATGTGTATATGATTGTATGTATATATATACACCTATACGGCATGAATTTTGCATTAATCCTTGATTCCTGAGAAAAGGAGATACTGTTGATGGACAAAATCCTGCACCACCTCACCACTTTACCCTGGAAG